CTTCAGCAAAATTCACATGCGCGTCTAAGGATTTGTCATTTCTATTTTATTTACAGTAGTTTATCAAATAATAAAATTGCATTTCATTATTTCCTTCATAGTATTTACATTATGACGTTTATTTGCGCACTTATAAATAATTATTTTAAAAATGGTAAATTCACATCTTAAAAACACATTAGAACTGGATAATATTTCAATAGCTACAGCCTACTCCTGTGATACAGAGACTTGCAACAAATTTATAACAAACACTATTAATTCCTTTAACATAGTTACTCAAAATATCCGAAGCATTTACAAAAACTTTGATAAATTAATAGCTCAATTATCTATGTTTACAATGGACATTGACATCATAATATTAACTGAATGTTGGCTGAATGATCGCAAGCCTATTCCTCAGATGGAAAACTATATTGCCTTTTCAAATAGTAAATTTTTTAATCAAAATGACGGAATTGTTACATATGTCAAAAACAATTTAAGATGTACGGTCACTGAGCCAGAACCGAAAGGAGCAAGTTTCCTTTTACTTGACCTTGAACCCGATATACATATTCTGGCTATTTATAGGTCACCGTCCCTACCTTCCACTGACATTTTATTAAATACAATAGACGAAATTATTCGTCCGTTACACTCTAAAAAGAATATTATATTGGCTGGTGATTTGAACATTGACATTAAGCGTAATAACATTGATAAACATAGTGCTACTTATTTAGATCTGTCTGCAGAATTGGGTTTGTTGCCTGGTCACCAGTACCCTACTAGATTACGGAATTGTTTGGATCATATAATGTTAAAAACTATTTTCCCGGCTTCAGTTTTTGTTACTGATTCTACGATAACAGACCATGCCCTCGTGTTGTTAAATCTTTCTCTAACAAAGCACAAGCCTGTCACCGATTCCCATTTCAAAAGGATTGACTTTGAAGCGGCTATTAAAAACCTAACATCTGTTGATTTCTCTTTTATAACGCCTTCCTGTGACGCTAACGTAGCCGCCACATCTTTTGTTGAAAAACTGTCTATTGCTATAACATCAAACAGTAAGATATACAAGGTACCTAATAGGAAAAAAACCTTGAAACCGTGGATAACATCTGGTCTCCTTCGGTGCATTCGTCATAGGGATAGGCTTCATAAAAATGTAAAAAAAGACCCAAATAATAATATACTAGAAACTATATACAAGCGATACCGCAATTATTGTAACTCATTGTTGCGGAAACTTAAAATAAATTATGAAAAATCTTTACTAATTTCTTCGAAGTCTAATAAGGAAACTTGGAATGCAATAAAATCGATTCTTGATATTTCGAAATCAAAAAACACTGCAGATGATCTATTGCGTTTAGACGGTAGTAATGACATTCAGGATATAAATACATACTTTTCCAATGTAGGTAAGCAGTTAGCAGATGCCATAATTTCCTCGGTAAATTGCAATATGGGTAAATATAACTCATTCGGTCCACAAGCAACTAATTCTATTGTACTACTATCACCAGACGAAGCCGAGATTGAATCGCTAATAATAAATCTTAAAAACGACTGTGCCGTTGGGTGGGATTCCATACCTGTTAAATTTCTAAAACTTGCGAAACATATTATAGTTCCTCCTTTAACTAAAATTATTGAACTGTGTTTATCCCAAGGAATATTTCCAAAAGCTTTTAAGAGGTCGCTTATCACCCCAGTTCATAAGGGTGGGTCTCGCGACAGTGTCACAAATTATAGACCAATATCTGTACTCAGCTCACTTTCTAAGGTACTTGAGAAGGTAATAAATAACCGCCTGATGAATTTCTTAGAACATAATAATTTATTATCAAGTTCACAATTTGGATTTAGGCAAAATATGAGTACTGAAGACGCGGTTAGTCAGCTAATAGCACATGTAACCTCAAAATGTGATGCTGGACAGAAATGCTTGGGAATTTTCCTAGATCTGGCAAAAGCTTTTGACACTGTCGCGATTCCCATCCTTGTGGACAAACTAGATCGTATCGGTGTCCGGGGTGACGCCCTTGGGATCTTAAAGGATTTCCTATGCGATCGAACGCAACAGGTTAAAATTGGTCAGATGGTAAGTGCAGAATCTCCGGTCACCTATGGAGTCCCCCAGGGTAGTATTCTAGGATCGAGTCTGTTTTTAGTATACATAAATGACTTGTGTCGAATGGCATTACAAAATACCAAAATTTATACTTATGCTGATGATACGGCCTTAGTTTTCACTGGAAGGACTTGGGACGAGGTTCGTGTTACTGCTGAGCGTGGTCTACGAAGTGTTAGTTGTTGGCTACGAGAAAATTTACTAACGTTAAATCTCTCAAAATCGACATTCCTTCAATTTACTCCTCCTAACAATAATCCGGCAAATATTGTAATTAAACTTCACACCTGTAGCTCTTCTCTCAATTCGGACTGTACCTGTCTTACGGTTACCAAGTCTAGCAATGTTAAATATCTCGGGGTGATTCTGGACGACAGGCTCATTTGGCGTGCGCATATAGAATTCACGACCTCGCGTATCAGAAAACTCATTTACGTTTTCAAAAAACTCAGATACGTTGCTGATTTCGGGCTGCTGCGAAAAATTTATTATGCACTCGCGGAGTCAGTGTTGAGATATTGTGTAGGGGCTTGGGGAGGTGCTTGCAAAACTCATGTACTTGCCTTGGAAAGAGCACAAAGATCCTTACTCAAAGTCATGTCTTTTAGTCCTTTTAGATTACCTACTACAACTTTATATGAAGAGTGCAAAGTACTTTCTGTAAGGCAACTATTCGTTTTGCAAAGTGTCATGAAACAGCATAAAGTCACCCCATATAACAAAGACAGCTATAATGAGAAGCGCACCCGAAGTAATGTGTGTTCTTTCGTTAAATGCCGCACAGCTTGGGCAAGACGACAGCTACTGTTTATGCCTTCATACCTGTACAATAAAACTAATAAAACTCTAAACATATATCCATTACCTGCTTGTGAAGCTAAATTAAAAATTAAGAATTGGATATTAACTTTAGACTACGATGAAACCGAAGCGTTATTGCGGTAGTGGTTTCTGAAGTGTTTATTTATTTTGTTTTGCAAATTTCAATTTTATCACAACACACACACAAACACACACACGCACACACACACACACACACACACACACACACACACACACACACACAC